TAGATTTTTTTTCTATTCCTCAAACGTTTATCTGTAACCCCCCCCCCCATTTTTTTTCGCTTGTCGGTAAGCATGTGTCACCTCTGTGGATGTGATAAGCTGAAAAACATCTCTTCAACGGCTTTGCTTCGTTACGGAGGTTTTGTAACTCACAATGTTCTGTGTGGATGATGCGACCATGGATGAATATTATAGAATAGGTATTGATCTATGATGCGAAGCTGATTTACATCTCAGACTTTTCATTGGCGCTTCTGTGTTTCCCCTCTCAAACTACGCCATCGCTTCCTTTGAGCAGCTCCTCGGCTGGGGAGAACCCCAGTGGCCACGTGCTAACGAGTATGGACTCCATAGAAATGTCCAGAACTAGTGTTGTAGTAGTTCGGAGGGCAGCAGTGTCGCCTTAGGATAGCAAGCGGCTGCCTGCTTTGCGCCGCGAACGTATGGGCAAAACACTACAGAAGTATCGATTTTCTATTAAAACGTCATGATCATTCTTCCTTGGAGTTTTTTCTTTACCCATAATGGTTTAAAAACGTTTTTGTTTTGTTTAGGAACACTTGGTCGCAGTGAATGTTCTTTTTTTCTCTAAAATGTTGGATTTTCACGATAAGCAAGTTGTGTCAGAAAGTGGACTGGGGCAAAAGGGTCTTGGAGAGACATAATTAGATTATTTTTTAGACGCCCTACTGTTCCCAAAAATCAGAAATGTAAAAAATAACACCCTCCGAATAAAGATGACAAAAGTAGGTTTCTGCTTTGAAGCAAGGGAAGTTAAGATGGTTATCTGTAATTTTAAATAAGTTTTCTTTTGTTTGCATTGCCTGAACGTGTTGTACAAACATAATATGTATGAGCCATTAAAATTTTGTGGATATTCAAGGCTTCATTTGTGTTAAGCTAAGCCATCTTCTTCAAAACTTAAATTGTGAAAAGCTAAGCCCTAATTGTAGGCCACCGAATCAACTGTTTTCTTCTGTCACCAGGACTAACAGGCCGTGTCTCGATTGTATTGCAAGAAATATAAAATGTTCAATAAAACTTGCAAAGCAAACTATATTATTGAAAATACATTTCATAAACGAATGGTGCTAAAACAGCAAATACGTTCTTGTCCCGTAGTATCAGTAATGTAATAATATTATACTGCAATTCCTGTCTATATCAAACACTTCCGAGATATTCGGCGCTGTCTACAATGGGCACATATTTTCTTATAAATTCTTGCTAAAAAACTCAATTTTGCTATAAATGGAACTATTTCAGTTTATTGTTGTGGTTATATGAAAGTTTAAAGCAGCTCATTATGGAAAACTATTGCTTGATTGCTAAAACGCTTCGTTTTGCTGCCAAGTTCGTACGTTAGTTTTGAACAAAAAAAAATTAAATAGTAAATGAACAAAAACTATTATAAACATTTTTTTTTAATTCCTGCACATCATACATACAAGCAAGAATAATTTCATAAGTAAATGCTCTCCAATATATCCCACTATGAATGCATTCGATACGACGAATTCATTACCTTACACAAATGTTTCATTTTCTCATCGCTTCAATCAATTAATTTTTAATACAATGTTAATATTAATCACTATTCGTAAAATCGTAGTATCCGACAAATAATTTCGAGGTCTGTAGTATTATATTCTTTAAATACAAAAATAAATAAATACTCGCAAAACATTAAGGCATAAACAACGATAAATGTCACTGGCTTCAATTCTTTCGTAATTTCTAATTTAATTATTAACTCGAAATATTTCGTTCTGACCCAACGGAAAAACTGGAAGGCTTTAGTGCAGTGCAGAGATGCCATATTAAGCGAAATTTCTGCAAGTGATTCGAAGTCGGATATTTTCATGTATTTTTCCTTCATAAGAGAAGTCCAACTATAATGATATCGTGAGCGAAACTTTGTTACGTTTATGTACATGGAAACAAATTTTTGATGAAATGACCGCAGAACTCCATGCAATTGGATGTTTTTACTAATTGCGCGTATCGAAAGAAAACGTATATACTAGTATAGTAGCATTACCTATCACTAATGGTGGCTAGTAGGGGGTGGGCTGCGGGTCTAGAGTCCCCCCCTCCACCATTCTTATCAAAATTATTTCATTTAACTTTGATATAAAATAAAATATGTGAAATTGTATTTCACTCAATTACATGACCAATATAGCCCACTGCTCAAGCGTTGCAACTCGCGAAAAGCTTCCGCCGTGTTCTGCTGCGATTTCATTTCCCTCCCTGGGACTGCCAGTCCCTGCTGCTTGCAATGAAGTATGGGCGTAGTTGATTTCGCTTCCACGGCTGTCTATGTGTATCAATACTGGAATTATAGGGACTGCAAGAAAGGCAATCCCTTCTTCCGTTTTGCGCGAGGTTTACATGACTTTTAAAGCTCTGGCGGACGTATGACGTAATTGAGATGCAGTATATTATATTTTGTCGCTACGGAGTAGAGAAAAAGAACATGTAATGCGTAAAATAAAGGCGAATTTTAGGTAGAGAAACTTATTAACGGCCCTGGTAACGAAAGTGTGAAAAATCTTGTTGCTAAATTTAGAATAACAATCCACTAACACGTGGAAGATCGTAGAATTTTTAAGACAGAAAATATCCGCTTATATCTAAAACAAACTATGCAACATACATCAATTCTAAAGGTAATATCTTGTTTCAAAATTGTATGTAGATTTAGAAAATGCCATCATTTAACACGTTCGGACGATAAATGTGACTTCTAGACGCGTTTCACTATAACTAGTGTTTTTGAGGGATTTCAAACATTTCTTATATTTAAAAAAATTGACAACTTCGATAATTTGCTCAACGAGGATAAAGTACACAAAGTTGAAATATTTTGCAGTTTGTGAGATATGTGCAGTTTGTCTAAAAAATAAAATTATCGACCCAAAACCTGTAAAATGTGGGGATTTTTGACATTAGCCGGATTTTTCTTTTTTGTGAAATAATATTCCGTCCTTTTAAAACAAAATTGAATCCGTTTGACTTTTTATTTTGAATTTAATCGGCATAAAGGGTCATATGTATCTAACTAGCCCGTAGTAAGGTGGGAAGGGTTATTTCTATTTATTGCTCCGCGGAAGAGTATTGATGCAAATCGTCAACTGCTGATTGATATGTGCGTAAGTGGTGATGCTGTAGCAGACGCGGCAGCAAAATAGCAAGGAGACTTTATATTGTATTTATTTTCTCAGATTTATCTTGGTGTCTCACTTTTTAATTTACACTTGCGTAGAACGTTTTGAAGATTACAATGGTTTTTCAAATTTTTGAACTCGAGTGTTGAGGAAAATTAAATAATAAAATAGGTCAAAAAATGTATTTTTTTTAAATTATCAAAACATACATCAAAAGAAAGCATCATTTGTTCTTTAATGTCGCAAAATACTAATTAGTCATAATTACATGAGTAAAAAATTATTAACTTTAGCGATGCACGCATTTTTTCGAAACTTTATATCTATTCGAAAAAAAATGATAAACATGTTTCATATTTTCGTTTATACTCTTTACAGAAAAAAATGTTAAAAATCTGGGACATCGAGGTCAAATATTCCTTCCACTTGTGCTATTTGACGTGGAATGACTCATATTTGCATAATCTTTGTTACATGCCATATTCATGTAGTGATAACCTCAACTTTTTTTAAATATTGAAGTTCAACTGCACCATCAATCCATTTATGACGTCACAACGCATCACAATTCTGACCTGATCTTGTAACATTTTGCTTAGTTTAAATTATATGTATTAAATTCTAGTGTGTTCACTGATTTACCAAACGTAATGGCAACACTACCTGAACATACACAATTTCAGGAGCGAGCAGAATATTCCCGTAAAACTGATGCTTGTCCATCATATCAAAGATGCGTTATTAGAAGGAATTAGGTCACGCCTTAGTCTGCTGTTTACAAATTGTCCGCGCACGTTTTCTTGAGCCCTCGTTTCGCTAGATGCCAGAGGAGTGTGAGATCCGATTATTTTGTCGACAAGACAATTCAGTAGCCTATGCACTGAAATGCAGCGCCGCGCACAACCCACATGGCTTCTTACCGACGCGCCCCAGAATCAGGAGTTTAGGTCCGGGGTCCGTTTATATTACCTTTTGGAACTGCGTCATCTCGCTGTTTCCGCCGGCGCGTTTCCACAGCCAGCATGTCTACGGGGTTCACAAGTGGCGACCCACGACACGGCACCCCTTCCTTTCCGCTCTATAAGGTTGCCATTGTTCAGCCCGGCGTCCCTTCCCGCCAGCACTGTCGCAACTCTTTCCTCGTGCATTTCATGAGCATGAAATGCACGTGGCTAATATTATGTCACGTTTGTACAATGCGACTGATATGACGCCACAAGAGTTTCTTCCGTGCAGGAGCGAATATTCCTAACACCAGATTTTGTTAACGCTTCATTTATTCTGAACTCAACTCATTAGTAAAGGAGTGGCGGGGGGGGCGGGGGGCAGGTATCCCGAGGCTCAAGAAAACGTGCGGTTATAATACATACTCCACCAGGCGTTCCGTTTCACTGGTTCTGTATTTTTCTCAAGAAATGCTATGTAATTTAAAAGGCAATAGTGGTCTACGAAAGTATTGTACAGATTTTGGGTTAACAGGTTTATTATTTGAAAGGGAATTTCTTTCAAGAAATCGTGAGGTCCGGTACACCTTGGGGAAGGGTGTCAAATATAACGATCATGATTCGACTTCGTGACTAGGATTATCAGTGAACGTTGGTGCATGTTATATTATTAAATCTTCGGGGGCCGCATTTTTGTTATGAATGCGTGTTTCCTTTAATTGGGATAGTGAGGGCACCTCTAGTTCTAATTTCCTACATGTAGGAAATTGAAAATAAACATTTGCATTCCTTAACTGGCAAGCGGTTCGAACCCGTGCCAACGCCCGCACTGAGGACTAAAGCTTGTCAAAATACACACGCAGACATGGATTGAATAAACACAATTTGATTTTATTTCTTCTCCATTTTATTGTGAAGATGAAGTATTACAAATGAAACAAAGCCAAATAGAACTGAACAAAAATAATCAATAAAAACATTATGTACCTCCCGGTACCTTTACATTCTCGTGAAAGGTCAAAAAAACAAAGTGGTCCTCAACTTTTTTCAGATCAGCCCTTCACAGGAAGTTCTGAAGCTATGAGAGTAAAGTATACCTTTTCTTTATAACACTTAAAAGATAGTGAGAAAGCAATAGAACACATTGAGCAATACTCGAATAGAGAAGTATCGATATATAATAAAAATTAAGGACACTCAATAGCGCCTGTCTCGAGATGCTGAACGTGACCGGCGTGGTGACCGACTTCTTGACCTCGAACGACTATGTGATCGCCGAACGGGTGAACGTGACCTACGAAAGCAACAGAAACAGTTTTTGTAAACACCTGCAAAACTATTACACAGAAAAAAATGAAAGGGAGGTAACTTAATACTAATATCTACTTGATTCTTTCTAGTGAGCATTAAAATTACACTCTAGTGTATTTACTGCAGGAACTACAAAAAATCTATGTATACTTTGGTTTAATGGCTAATTTAGGCAAAAGGGAATATTACCTTTTTGTGATCACAAGAATGAAGACCTTAAGAAAATAACGCTGACTTATTTTTTTAAACGTTTCACTAGTTTCTAGCTACTATTAGCATTTGTATAAATCACCAACATCACTTTTATTTACGCCTCAAGGAATTACTATGTTAAACCACTACTATTAGTACATAAAATAGACCAGATTACACAGTTCAAAGCGAACATAGATGTGAGTTGCAAAACTAGGAATGGCAAACTTCTTCAAAAGAGACAATAGTGAATTTAATAAAAATTATTCTGATCTATAAATATTAGTGTATAGAATGTCATCATATTAGTTGATGAATAAATTACAATTAAATTAATTTTATACTTTCACATTTTACATACACACACACACACATTCTTCGAAATTAATTGCACTCTTTATTTACAGACATCACATCTTCCTTTCTTATTTCCTGAGATTCAGAAGTAATAAATAAACATTTTCTTGGCAAATTTTGTCTAATCAAAACATTTTTTTTACATTCAATTTTAAAAAAATTATCTTTTACTGTATTTGAATTCAATTGTATTGAACACAAGCCAAAATACCCCAAAAATAGAGATTTTTACTGTCTGTCCAAAGTAAATAGTTTCATAAAAATTGAATATTTCCTAAAACTTAGGTACAAGTTGAGAATAGCCAAGGATGCCATTTTCATAGTCTTAATTTGTAAGCAACAATTAAAATCAACTTATCATTCACATTAAGTTTTCTTTTTTGCGTCTATGTACATGCAACGCATCTCCTAGCTCCTAGGAGCGTTGAGCGCACCGTGGACTAATCCTCTGTTACTTCATGTATGGGGAAATCCTCCTTTATTATGCACCCAGCACCCTCTAGGGGACGCTGGATAGTCAAGTTACGTCAGTCGCAGTTAAGTCTGGAAATATAACCGGTAGGTAGATTCTTCGCACTCGCGTCACCTACCTATCGGGCAGAACTGGGGAGGAATTAGGATTGGGGGTATAGGGTTTAGGACACTTCAAAGGGGTTTGACTAGCCCCTGCGAAGCATGCTAACTCGTTTTGTCGTAACAAATTTCACATGAGATTCATCGGAAATTGAACCCAGGATCCAGTGGAGAAAGGCAAGCGACTTCGCCACGAGAGCATCTCTTTTCCAAACATGAATCGAATTCGAAAGTGAAAGTCTTCAGTGAATTCTTAACTTTATTTTCTAATTTCTTCTGAAAACCAAGACAGTCGATTATTAACTAGTGGGGCAAAACAGCACATACTTTCTCGCCCTTAGTAATGATACGCTATACTATTTATATAGCATTTCTCTCCACCCACCATTTTTTGTAAAACTCATCGCGTATTGTAGAACATTAGGTGCGGGCTCCTTGGTCCGTGGTGAGCCAACTAACTAGGCATTCCGCGGCAACACATACGCGAAAGACCGGGAACAAATCCGCGTGCCTTCAGAGCGCGGCGCTGAGTCGGTCACACTCTAGCCACCTCGACCATCCAAACAAACAAACTTGACATTTACGTTTGTAATTGAAAATATTGTCATCTTGATGTTAAGAGATGAACAGGCCAATATAAAATTTGTTTATAAAATATAATAAATTCAACGCTTTGTTCATTTGTAATCGTGCGTCGGAAAACGGACAATTTTCGACATAAAAGCTCTTATTGCTGGGCCCTGGTAATGAAGTGGATAAATTCAGTTGTTAAATATAAGGGTGAAAAACGTCTGTAGCCAGAATCCATGTTTTGGGCGTCCTTCATACCGAATAATCAATTGGCGCCAAAACGTGTCTGCACAACGCTAACCCATAAACCGTTCAGCCGATTTTCTCCTAAATTATCGGCCGTAATTCCGTTATCGCGGCCCCTGGAATTTGAAACAGATTTTAATTTTGGGGGGTACTTTACATGAAGCCTCTCGGACTTTCTCGAAAAAAATTCCTTTTTTGTCATTTAACTTTTCGAAAATTACTAAAGTTCAAAATGCTTTCAACGTCTTCCTAAAACTATAATATTAAAGATAGAATTTTCCCTCCAAACGAAATCTGTTCCTTAAAGAGAACTCTTGAATTAAAGGTCATGTTCAACTTTTTTTAATAATAATAATAATAATAATAATAATAATAATAATAATAATAATAATAATAATCGTGTAATTTTGCGCAAACGAGACAATTTTTTTTTAATCTCAAAAACCTCCCCAATTTTTTTCTTTCCACTTCCTCCACATGTGTTTTAAGCGACAGTAAAAAACACTGGTCCATCATCGGGTATAGCTCGGTTTTTCGAAATTCGCATACCTTTTTAAAACTATAAAATTGAAGATATTTTTGCCTCAGTCTGTCCGTGTCTTGTACATACAGAATCTGAAACAGGTCATGGACAATTTTTTGTAAAAAGAGTGGATTTTGTGTAATTTGCGCTGGAAATTGATGAAAGTTTTTTTCTCAAAAACGGCTCCAATTTTCTCCATATATGTAATGTGGCACCTACATAATATTGTGTTAGTCATATATTGCTATTTTTTTTTTTCTCGAAAATTGCAAAAACATGTCAAAACTACAAAATTCACGATAGAGATTTTAGCAAGTGTAAAAAATCAGCTCTTTGAAAAAGGTTGTGAAATTCTTTTGAATTATTCTTTTTGTTGAACATCAACATGTAATCATTATGAGGATATATTTCTTTCATTTATTTAATGTCAAAAAACATGAAACGTTTGTTCTTTGACGAGAATTTGGAGAACTTTTTAGGGGTCAAAAGGAGTAGAAACGTTTAGCATTACATGTTCAGACAAACAGTAACGTGTAATTCGTGTAGAAAGGAGCAGATTTGGTGAATATTTCAATACTATAGTTTTTTTGATAAATACGATTATATATTTTGCGAACTATTTCCATTTTCTTGCAAAAGCTATCAGTGTTACTGCGTTGTAAAATATATATCCCAAATAAAGTGGCAAAACACACTGTAGCGAAAGCATCCGCCGCCGGTGAATCGTATTATCTTTCAATTATTTTACTTTCTCGCTTCGTGCTTACACAGAATATTGAAAAGCTAAAATACGCAGTGCATACACTGACTTCAATGCCAGAAACATTTTCATTTAAAATTTGCATAAAAATTATGTTTTTCCCATTTCCTTTTTTACGTGATAAATTGATATTTGAAGTATAAGACAAAAATTATGACATTACATAAAGATAACAATATTGCGATAAAGCATGTGCAGTTGTATCACTAGTTCTATTTTTTTCTTGTCCAATAAACCGCGTATGTATAGTATAACATAACTTCTTTGATTATAACATAGCTTTCAGTAATTTTTAGTATTTGGCGCATATATATTGGATACAATTTCATTCGTGGAATAGTCTGCTCGCTTCACGAGTCGGGGATTTATCGACTATTTCGGAAGTACTCGTATTACGATAATTTTTGATAATTTTCAATTTTGGAAAACATTGCTCTGCAGTCGCCACCGTCACGGGAATCATTAGAAACAGCGAGATTACTGAGTAAACGTGTGGAAAGGTAGCTGAAGGAGTACTAAGGACCGAGTTAGCCAACACAGGATTGAATGAATGTTCGAAATCCGATCTCTCAGACAAGGATAATACCTGTGGGAACAATTGATCAGTTACAATGTTTTGCATTGATTCGCAAGTCCTTTATCTGAAAACTGATTATTCACAATAAACAAGTGAAATAAACATTAACTTTGAAACGTTTTTCGCCATCAGATAAACAATCTCCGCAACTCCCATCTAAGTGATATTGCGTTTTTACTTTCTCGCTACCTCTTAAGCAGTAGAGAAAAAGGGATGTAAAGCAAGAAAAAAAGGTTAATTTCGACAGAACTCTTAATACAGGGTAACGCAAAAGTGAATAAATCCAGTAACTAAATTTTTTTTAAAATCTAACACGTGGTGCCACCAGAATCCATATTTTGTGGTTGCTTGATACCGAAAAATCGCATGACGGCAAAACCTGTGTGTTTGTAAACAATGTTAGCTGCTAAATAATTCGGCCGATTGTTTCCGGAATTTATGTTCTGCAATCGATCTGGGTGATGTCGCGGCCTCTTGAATTTGAAACCGATATTTTAAGTTAGGGGAGGGTACTTCACATGAAGCCTCCCCAGGATACTTTTTATTTATTTTTAAATGGCTCCGTACCTTTTTTCGTTCGATAGTGTGAAGAACGTTTAAGCGAATGGTGCAGATCTCATCCGTTGGAACCCCTGATTTACTGATCGAAAATTACCAAAGTTTAAGTTTTATTCGGAGTCTTCCTACACTAAAATTTTAAAGGTAGGTTTTTACCCTCAATGAAAAATATGTTCCTTAAAGATATATTTTGAAATACAGTCATGAACAATTTCTCAAAAATTTGACTTTTCACGTAATTTTGCAAGAAAGTACGAAAGAGTACGTGCGGTTCTAGCACTAGTTTTACGGGCTTCTCGCGAAACTCGACTGATACCCCACGATGTAGCCAACTTAAAGATAGTTGGATTCGGATTTGACTTTGTCCCAGTCATCTCTAAAATCTTTTATATCCTTGCGAGCTGCTTCTAATTCCCGTGCTTGGCAAATTTTGCAGATTTTGAGACATTAGTCACAATCAACATTTTTGAACGCAATACAACATTAAAAACAAACTCTAACATCTCCATTTATTTTTTCACGTTTCGTGCATCTGCTTGCTCAGAACTATATTTTAGAACCCGGAATTATAAAGTCTGTAAAATTTGACACATTGAATTGCTTATTTTAAAGGTCTTCCCCATTTGCGAAAACCACAGGGATTTCAATATTACTCTGCACTGCTTCCATCCTCAGATTGGAAGCCTACACTTTCTTCAATGGCATACATCATGTATCGCACAAAACAGCAGTTGGTTCTTGTCCGTTTTCTTAAGTGTACTAACCCAAAATAACTATTAGCTGGCAACCGATTCGGTACACGTTATGAAGACTCGTTTATCGAACTGAGCCCGGGTCCGCTAAGAAAAATTATCAAAATTTACACTGAAATTTCAAGTGATCTATAAAATAACTAAGATCTAATAAATGCACATGATACAATGCAGCACACTTAAATCCCAGACTGCTTCCAAACTAACGTTTTCACATGTTCACTTCCATAATACAACACCATAGAAACCTTCCCTGTACTACCCTTGAGTACCAATGATCTCCAGATATCTATAAAAGGAACAGTAAATTAAATATATGTAGTCCAGTCAGAAAGTAAAGCCTCCAATTTTTTCTACGTATATAAAATTAGTTAAGTGAAAAATTTGAATTTGGCTCTATTCTTCAAACCTACAATCCACTGCAGCAGTAACTATCTGCGTCAACATAGCTCCAGTCATTTGCAAAATGGCCGACATCGATGGGTTTTTTAATTTTTTTTAATTTGTTATGTCTACATAGAAACAACACGTCTCCAAGCCCTGTGTGGGACTCGTAACACTCAGCAAGTCGTGAGGACTGCTGGGTGACTGCAGATAAAGTGAGGGAGATAATGCAACACAATTTACCTTGCTTAACAGTGCTGACACCCACTGTTGAATTACTATAAACATTTTTCAGTCTTTCCTGATCTCACGACGTTGAATCTTACAAACATTGATTTCGGTCATTTTGTAAACGAATAACATGGTCGACGCAGAAAGTAAATACTGCGGTGGATTGTAGAAAGTTTGACGAATAGTGCCAAATTCTATTTTATCCCCCCCTTAACTAACTTTAGTTATGTAGAAAAATAGGTCATTACTTTCTGGATGACTCGTATTACATGCACACATTTATTTTTAGACAAGACATTACCTAACACCACAAGGGGTCAGGTATAAAAAATTAACTCTCCGTTTGAGACCATATAGTCTTGCAAAGGAGCCAACACCTCGAAATTTATTTTTTTTAATTTTTTAAACAGAACATTCATTTCCGAAAATAGTTTAGCCACGGGAGTTTTCTGAACAGACCAATTCACTTAAGAATTTAGAAATTAGTGTATTTCTAAATATTTAATTAAATTGGTCTATCATGAAAACTTGTCAAGAAAACAATAGTGTTCTTGTCAGACTAATTCACTAAAGTATTAAAAAAATAAACTAATTTCACAATATTTAAGTGAATCGCCAGGTCAAGAAAACTCTCGTTGCTGTTCTACCCTCTAATATGAAAAAATTGCGACACTTTTTTATGTGAAATACATTCATTTATCCAAGCACCTGTTTGAACCTGAAAATAAAATGAAATAATTAACTTAAGAAAAATCTACTTTCAGTATTTTCAAAAATCCTTGATAGGAAATTAATCAGGAAGCTATAAGGGGCAATCTACTTTTGGCAAATCCCATTTTACTTTCTTAGTTCCATTGTAATAATTTATTCATTACCCAAATAACTAAGCACTGGGATGAGATTAACTTCCCAGAAATGAATAGACCCGAATAGAATACCTAGCTGGGATCTGGCAGATGAATGCATTCGCTCGCAGACCGAAGTGAATTGCAGTTGTGCTGACAGCTGCTGCAGCTGTCTTGTTGAGGAAGTTATGGTGACATGTTGAAGGTAAGGTGAACCAGGTTCACCGAACTCTTCCAGCCAGGGCTGGGGAGGTTACTGATGGTTTGGTGATTGTAGAGGTGTTTGAAAGATGTCGGATGCAATAACGTCTGCGCCAGCGGTAGTCCACGTGCCGAGTGACGACCTGCCACGTTGACAGAAGGCTGACCAGCCTAACGCACCCTTGTTTTACAAGGTTACTGGAGATGACGAGTCATGTCGAAGGTAGGCCAAATGAACCATGCCCAGCATTGGCTGGAAAGGTTACTGGTAGATTGGTGGTGGAAAGTTGTCGGTTGCAACTGTTGTGCTCAATTTTCAAGTTCAAATGGCCGAGAAGGGCAGAAGGCATGGAAAGCGAAACGTTGCGGTGAGTAGAGCCAGCAGGCAGTTGGGTTGTTCGTTGGTTGCGATGGTTTGGACGATCTGGTCTCTGGAACCAGAGGAGTAAATGGTAGGTGAAAAATGATCTCTAAAAACGTATTCGGAATTATCTTCATCACGAGTACCTGCTAGATAATATATTTTGTTCGAAAAAGTAACATGTTGTAAAAAGTTCCAAACTTTGAAACAAAAATTAAACTTTGACAAGCTTGTCTTCTCAAAACAAAATGAATTTCATCAGTTGTCCCTCTAAAACTTATCGTTGCTTTGAAATTTGCTACAAGAGGATACTGCAATATTTCTTTATAAGATTTCAAAATTGAGTTATATTTTATTTTTCCCAGAAGTCATTATAATAGTCCACCATCTAATGAAATTCTTTTGTTTCCATAATATACATTAAGCCCTCTAATTTAAATAATCAAAACTTATTATAAAATTTTAATTTAGAAATCTGAAGTTATTTACGAGTACTGAAAATTAATCAACAGCTTCAAAACAACTCAATTTGAACTTAGCCATTTGCATTTCTTCTGATTTATATTCACAATCACAAGCCCAAAGTAAGGAAAGATAATTATACAAATTTCAAAATAACTCTTCTTGCAGCATTTCAAAGACAAAATTACGGCTAACCAGAACTAAAATAAATAAGTAACGTCCAGAACACAGCACAGCTCTCTATCTCCACTTACAGAATGGTAAAAATAAGAAAAATGCTGAAAGGAAAAGCTATCTTGAAGGCATATTAAAATGTAACAGAATACCGTAAGTTTGCAGCGTTATATAAAACACAAGATGCATATACAGAGTAACAAAACTATGCTCCACACTACGTGCCTGATAAGATGTCATTCAAATGGGCTGTAATATTATAACAGAAATACAGATGTGATAGAGTAATTTGAAATACATTGTAAACTTCTGTAGTTTGGTTCTTGAACTTGTACCAAGGATACACATATTTATTAATACACATATTTATAACCTTAAGAACACACCACATACGGGCAAGCTTTCATTACAACATACCTGGAATAGCGGCCCCCTCTTCTGCTGCTTCCAGCTCGTCTAGTGCGCCCCGTAGACATTTCAACACGCACTCTTGTTCCACACAACCTCCTGAACACACAAAAGAGAGCATAAGGCTTAAGAAGTTTGCAAGATTTCTAATAAGTACTCTCTCATATCTTTTTAGAACCCTTGTTTCTCCTAGTGATCATACTCTGAAGTTTCATAGCCTTCAGGATTTCAACTATGACTCTTCCAGGATGAGCATCATGAAGAGCAAATAATCGAAGAGGAAGTCACTTGTCGGCCAAGCCACAATGGCCCAGTATTTCAGCATGTAAATTAGAATGTTCATCTTGCATGTATGTATTCGGGAGAGGAGGAGACATGGATGAAGGGAAGATCTCATGCAGTCTGTGACATGATTATGGTACTACTCTAACATGAGCTTGGTGCTGGTTGGAAAAACCATGCGATATTTCTTATTTGGATAATAATGTTAGAATCCAAAAAAATGCCCTTCCTTGAGGAAATTTAATCCCCATCTGTAACAGTTCTAACTATACCTGTTTTCAGGTCTAATCCTGAACTTTCTTCGAAAACACTGTAGGATTATGAAGAAATCCTCAGGTTATGGTTGGCCGAGCTATAAAATATTCAGTGTCCCAGCTTCACACATCAAAGGATAGCCTCGAATAAGATGGTAAAGAGTTTTCTACTCAAGTTTTTACTTTTATACCACAAAACAACAATAGAAATAAATAATTAAAAGGAGTTCACAGGATGGGATAATAATCCTAGCAAACAAATTATTATTTCTAGTAAGCACGTTACACATTTCTAGAATATTTCCTCTAAGTACTGTACCAGTGTGAGTCAAAACTACCGCGTAAAGTGTTCTACGAGGTATGGGAAAGTCAGATGTTTTGATGTTAGTATAAGTGTAAATATATTTATGTTCACACACATAATACCTTGCTGCGTAAATTATTAAAACTTTGATCTTAAAAATAAATCACACAATCACAAGCCCAATAGAATGATGCTGTTAAAAACAATGTTCATGGGACCTTAGAATATCTGCACTCAAAAGGCAACAGATTATATATAATTTTAATCCATAAGAAATTTCTTTACAAAGTTTCTTTAGTACTACTTCAAAATTACATTCACAAATTTATTCACAGAACACACTCATCTGTCTTAGGGTAATACATTGAATAAGAACTGTTACTAGCAATACAAATAGTGTACACATCCCATTTAAGGGTCCCAATGAATCTGACATTTCATATTCCCAGTTTACAGATCCAGTCAGCAAAATTCACCTATTTTACCCATTGAAATGAAAATGAACCTTTTCGTAGTTAGGTGACAGTTCGTATATTTTGTCAAATCTTTAAAACTTCACAGAAATTTAACAAAAAACGACTATATCAGCATTATTCAGAATCAGGGGAAAAAATAAGATAGATCATAACTTACGTTCCATCGAGGCCTCTAACAGCGTCTTCTGCATCTCTAGGATCTTCAAATTCCACAAATGCAAAGCCCGGTGGATTTCGGGCAATCCAAACATTCCTTAACATCCCGTATTTGCTAAATGCACCTTCAATTTCATGCTTTGATGCATTATTTCCAAGATTACCAACATATACTTTGCAAGACAAATTCCACTCACGATAGCGGGCCATGACAAACGTACCTGGATGAACGATTAAAATATGAAAAATATCATACCGGTGAATAATATGGATAACACTACACCAAAATATAATCAAAATGTTTTTAATAACACTTACCGCAAGTTCTAATACCAGCGTACCGAAATATATCCCCTCAAACCTTTTAAATACTCTTGCAGGAACAGACACTAGAACCTCTCAGCTATAGCACAATATTCAGGACAAAACCAGGAGATACATGCTCTCTCTACAAGACGGAAATGGAAGTCCGAGTTTCCAACAGTAGTCAAAGACTTTAATGCTAGCAACTCATGGAGTGGTCACTTGGGGGTGCTGAAGATGCACATAATTTAATAATAGATATAATACTGAAATAAAATATAGTTTAATTATATATATATATATATATATATATATATATATATATATATATAGTATTTCTTAGAATTAGCATATCACGGAAGAACCAGAAGAACGCTCTTCCATGACCGTGCTTTAATAAAATACTTTCTGGTAAATTCTTACATCCGAAGTAAAATTCAAAGTTTTTTGTTTTTTTTAAGTTAAAAAAAAGTATGGTAAAATAATAAATGAAAATTTAAATATTATTTTTATTCGAAATATTTACAAATAAATACAATAATTTAAATCTAAAATTCACAATGCGCCGACTAAAACAAAACAATTAAAAAATTTTGGTGATTGAAACTTCGAGAGTGAAGGGAAGCGTGTTGTTAGGAGTGCAAACCATTAGGGCCTAAATAACGTGTTCCCGGCGCACGAGTAACGCCCATATCTTAAATTTTTAAATATAACTAAATTCGTGAAAAGTTACTAAAACAAATACTAAAATTGTATGAATGAATATAGATTGACAATGGCTTGTTCTAAAATAGACTCTCGCCAGTTTATATGGGAAATGCACCGTTCATGCTTGTTTTACTATCATTAACAAAATATTCCCGAATACATTTAGTTCTAGAAGTTAGAATATTAGAAGTTCCCACGGATTTGTCTGTATAATATTGGGACGTTAAATAAATAAATACCTAGGTGTTAGAAGCCAATATCTTGAACCCATTTGATAATTTTCTAAAAAATGCCTTTTTTTCTTCAAATTTCTTGTAAGAATAGAGGGAAATATTAAGGAGACCTATGTTTTTACAACGAAAAGGAGAACGAAATAATTTAAGAAAAAAGTACAACATAAATAAAAAAATATTAATGCAAACAAAAAAAACTAATTATGCTTACATCCCTTTTAATTATTTCATTAAGCGGATATCTTTCCATGAATTAATATTTCTTGTCAATTTATCATTTTCTAACAATACATAGGAAATTTGAGCAAGAAGTATGCTACATATTGAATTTCACGGTAATTGCTGCAAAGTATTAACATTCATTCCTGATTTCTCACTCGTCAACAAATCTGAAATATTGAAGATGAAACTACAGGAAACGGCGAAAAATCCGCTTTTCCGAACTCGGGCCATCTAGAGGGAATCTAGCCATCTGGGGAAGTTGGGGCCACTCGGGGCATCTAGAGGAAGTTGATTGAACCAGAGAGTATATATTTGAACCGGTTGATTGCACTGATTACTATTCAGACTCATTGAAACTATAGAGTAGAGATATATGGTATCTCTCCTCTATGGTTGAAACATGGTTGAATGGTTGAAATCGTTCACCAGTTGTGGCAGTATCTGCACTGTGACTGGTGGAACACAGCTATCTAGAAGCCTCTTTCAAAATCTCAGGAAAATTGATATTAATGAATAATGAAATTAACATTTTATAAATTATACAATTTTAAACTACACCTAGAATGAAACGAACATAACATTCCTTAATGAATCATTTAAATCATCAATAATATATTTATGTCAAACTGTCCAATTATTCCGAAGTTCCCTTCCAACAGAATAAATAAATGCATTGAAGAAGTATAATTACTTGTGGAATATTTATGAAGGGAGTTCTTACTTTTACATAACTGCATTAATTTGTGGTTTATAAATTTTAAATGGACATTAAATAATAGACCCATAGTTTATAGGTGAATTCTTCAATATACAAGGAAGTTGCACGAATGATTCTTTATAGAGGCCCGAGGTCATAGAGGAGAGATCTCTACTATATGCCCGAGGTTCGCTCTCATGATTCGTAAGTCAGGAAGTCGATTCACTAGCGCCACCACAGAGTAAATGTAACATCGAAGAACTACATGGACGGTAGACCGATTCACTCGGTGTAACCGGTGCAACTGTTCCAATCATCTATTGGACACGCGGGAAAATGCGGTGGCAATGTGCACTAAAAAAGAACTCTCAGACAGTATTTTCATACGGCAAATCCAAAGTATAAAATAAATGCTTTATTATGACGGCGAAATACTTATAAAAACATTGACACATTAACGCTGTAAATTCGTGTACGGGAGAAGGGCGAACTACAAAGTAATCGTTGGTCAAACAATTCCAACGGTTCCAAAAGTCGGGAAAGAACCGTTGATTCATCCAATCACTAGTTGCCAACACTGTTCCGAACTGTTCCGCCACAAGACCGGACGTTTGACGCGGTTTAGGGTCAAGTAGGCTATAATCTACTAATTGCAGTTTAAGTGGACTGTAATCTACTTTACCGTATTGCCAAATTTCGTAAGTCCTTTATTGAATTTTATAGAGAGCGTACTTTCGCAGACTCATATCGAATCATGTTTTTACCTTTATATAGAAAATACCAATTCTACATTTTTATAACATTACGATAGGTTCTTGTTGCTCGAGTTTGTTATATATATTTCCAATTTTATCACGTACATTACAACGCATTCATGACATGGCTACGGCTCGTTCTACATTTCTTACGTCCTACACTCTAAACTTCTTACTAAAAAACCCACTTTCTGTAAGCCCTCGCATACATAAACAATAATTTAGTTCCACATATCGGAAGGCTGGAAGAGGTCTCTACACAAACGGTTGGTCATAAGTCTGCAACACTGCGAACCTTCCCAACCCTGCACCAATGACTGCCTACAAGACACAGATTCCACATCCAGTCACAATGGGTCGATTGCGAAAGCGATGTCTGAGACGCTGCTTCTCAGAGCCGTCTTCTGAACACCCGATTTCGCGTGCCAAAACATTGCTTCGCCGCCATATTGGAACCATGGTTCGAGAAATGGTCCAATATACGGAGGCATTCGAATGGGGGTATGTCTTGAAGCCGATGTCTCAACGCGTCATGCGAGGTTCGCGTCATTCGTCTGTGTCTGCCTTGGCTTGCTGTACCCTGCTCCACGTCGCGTTATCGAAATGCTTTTAAGGAAGAATGCGTGAAATTCGTGATCGTGTAAACAGAAGAAGATTACTGGCAGTTCCTCGCATGCATAATGCTGCGGATCGCAGTAATCCTTTGGAGGAATACAACGATCACGAATTTCGTCGGCGATTTCGATTTTCGAAGGAACTGATGTATCTCGCAAAGAGAATTGCGCGAAACCTCGTTGAAAGACAGGCGCTGGTTCAGGACTTCCTGTTACACCTGCAATTACTAATTGTACTTAGCGTGAGTATAGTTTTTAATTTATGTATAATAATATTTTTATTTGAAGTTTGCTTTGCGAACGAAAAACAATGGTTGTATTTACTAGATTTTTTGCCACCAATTGCCTTCAACATTGTCCTGGGCGATCTTGTGAATGTAAACAGAGCAAGGTGTGTCGCCTCATTAAATCTGTTTCGGAGGCAATTTGCCTGGTCTTGAAAAGTAGATTTGTGTACTTTCCACCCAGGCGGGAACACGATGAATAAAGCACAATTATCCCAGGTAAGTTGATCATGAAACTTTTAAACATTTTTTTACGTCAGTAAACCCACATATTTATCACATGTTTTTCCATGGCTTCACTAATTACTGATTTTATTGGCAATTTTCCTGTCAACATTGCAATGTAAAAAACATTTAGAGTGTTGCAATGGAATTATCCAAAGGCTTTGATGGTAATGTACTGTTCATGAATCATTAGAGAATTCGCAATGAATTAAAAATGTAGCTTTCACGTTATTTTCCGATACTAACAAAAGTCATTCCAATATCATCAATTTTCATTATAAATATTAATGTAAGTCAGGATAATAAAAATACATTTATATATTAACTCGTAAAATTTAAAGTTCTTTATAAAGAAACGATCGCGTTCGCTGAGATAACTTATTCCATGTTCTTTATGCTTTGCATGATTATATAACACAATATCACATTTGTGTTTGAAACAAGGATATTTAACACCAAATTGTACTCTTGGCAGAAGACAACTTTCCAGCAGGTCTTACAGTGCCATTGATTGCACACACATAAAAATTGTATCCCTGATTAGAGGATTAGCAGGAAATTATTCTACAATGTCGTAAATTGTTGTTATTCCATTAACTGCGCAAGGTATTAATAGTTTAACAGCCATTTTATAATTCTTTTCAAATTAGTCAGTATGCTTCAAAATAAATGTATTATTTTTCAGGTGGTTTGCGACAATGATATGAATATTACAAATATTGTCGCAAGATGGCCAGGGCCTCCACTCATGACAGCAGAATCTTTTCGCAATTCGACATTAAAAGATGTGCTAGAGAGTGGCGGTGGGTAATGCCCACCTTATCGGTGACAGTGGGTACCCATGTACACGCTACTTCTGACCCCAGTTCTTCGTGAAAGGACTGCAGGCAGCAGGTAGATACAATGCGGCTCACAAAAGAGCTAGAAACATTATTGAGAGGGTTTTTGGAAGCTGGAAAAGGCGGCTTTCCATGCCTCCAAACTCCTCTTAGAGTGAAACTAGTGACTGTGCAACGGCATTATTGTGGCAACAGCTTGTGTTGCACAATGTTGCTATTAAGGAGAAGGAGGGAAGAATTTACGATGTTGTGGAGGAAGAAGAAGAGGAAATGTAGAAAATGCCAGGGATGAGGAGCAGTTGGAGTGGCATGGAGGAGAACAATTATTGCAAATCATTTTTCATAATAAAACTATTTTATTAAATTAATCAGTGTTTTATTTCTGACAGTCATCTTGGCTTTTGTTGAAGTATCCTGAAAAATAAAGTACAATTAGTACCAGAATGGAAAGTGAAAGATTTAATTGATATTATGAATAGTTGTAATAAGAATTGCAAAATAAACGCATTGAATTAGAATAAAAGATTACATTGCTCTTAAGAAAATATTTCTATTGGTCTTACCTTGCTATTTTCTTTATGGATAAAAACAGCACGAAGCACAAGCTGAACTGCTCAAC